AACTCCCAACTGTGAAGAAAGTTGGTTGGAAAGCAATTAGAATTGATTTTACCTGTTTTCCCTCCCAGATCAAGCTGATGCCTCCGGCTCCAAATGATGACCTGGCAACGCTCAGCGAGCTCACAGACGGCAGCCTGCTTTATGAAATTCAGAAGCGCTTTGGGAACAATCAGATCTACGTAAGTGCCCTTGAAATTGCCTATTGCACTGCTTTTGTCTTGCTGAATAATTTCACCCTTCAGTGCTGCGAATATTACAAAGAAAGGGCTCAGTGTTACTTCTGGTCATGCTGACAGCGTCAGGTGGCTTTCGCAGAGTCTGGGTCATTTCTTCTGATTCACTTATAAAGCAATTTCAGTAAAGATCCAAATTTCAGAGATGCTAAGGGAAGGTTAATACCCCAAGGGCAGACAACCTCCCTGTTGCCATGTTTGCTGGGGAAGAAGACCTTGCTAGAATCGTCAGGATCTGCAAATCACTTATAAAAACGCTTGTTTCACCTGCTTTAACTCAGCCTCCTAGATCTGGAGACAGAAGTTAAGGAGGAAAAGCTAAGCATATGCGGAGGACTGCCTTTCTGTTTGCAGGAAAAAGAAATTATCAGGAAATGTCTTTCTCTGTAGAGTAAATAATTCATACACACATCTCTGACAATAGGATACAAATACATGACTCAGATGACGAACAGCATGGAGATTTGACTTGCTGTGGTTCAATTCTGGTTTATATGTGTTATTTCTTTCAATATGTGTATCAATTTAGGCACCACGCAATCTCAGACTCTCTTTGCTCTCCATCTCTGTCTCACTGACTTTGTGAAACTCAGAGCAATTCAATCAGGGTGTCTATAGAGAAGTCTGATTATGCACATGCCTGCTAGCCCTTTTTGATAACTCCCTTTTTTCCTACTCTACTGAGAAATTGATTAAGTAATTTTCATGTAAATGTGAGGTCTGAGATTTCTTTACAAGTAATAAATTGTCAGGTGCTGATTAACCTATGAAAATTCAGTGCGGCATCTTAATGCTTGGATAAATTGCCTGCCATGGTAAATACACTTAAAATTAAATACTTCTGTCAGAATTAATGGAATTGAGTCATTGGCATAAAGTGGTGAAACCTGATTACTCTTATCTCTGTTACTGCCCTGCTACTTGTGTGTTATTTTTGTTCCATTTTCTCTCCCAGCGTTGTGTTGATGATTCTTCTTTTTAGATTCTTATTTACATTATCAGAAGACCACTGCTTGCATTATTTGTGTTCCTTTATTTCCTTCATGCTTTTCAAGGGGCTTTACTCCCAAATATGATTTAATCTACTGCTCTGCAGCCCAGGGGCCACCATCCATTGAGTGAATTAAATGATTTATGCATTGGGTAGCACCCCATCCAGCTGGTAGAGGGGGCTCCCAAGGGCTACAGAAGGGGAAGGTTTTTAAAGGCAAGACAAGGGAGTCATGAACAAAAAAGGTTGTTTCCAGCTTAGGTAAGCTCCCTACGGCAGATGGAGGGGGCCCACGTGACAGGTTACCTCACTGGCGCTGATCAGAAGATTGCAGACTGACCGGTCACGACCACATTTCTGAGGGAGCTGAGAGCCTCAATTAGGTCAGGTGTTACGTCCCTGTTGATGGCGTGGCCCAGCACACGTGACTCTATTTTGGGCCCGTGGTTTTCCTTTAAACAGTGTAAATTTGTCACTGTGTGAGGCATGATTGCCTTCTCTGTAGACCTGAAATATTGAAGAGCTAACCCACCTAGATCAATTTTGTAATGAGTTCTCCAAGTTATGGTATTTGAATTCGCCTTTAATGGATAGACAAGCAATTTAAACATCATTGATTGAATTATAATAAGTGATTCCCACGGAGTATCCTGTGGACCGTTGGATAATGCAGAATTTTTATTACCCATCAGCAGTGAGAGTGAGCGTTTAGACTCTTAAAACGATTTGATGGCTTAATTTCTGTCTGTTGAATCGCATGAGTCAAGCCGTGTATGTCTTTGTCTTTTCCAATTTCATTTTTCCAAGAATTCATTTTTATTGTTTTGCAAAAGTATTAGACCATGATGAATTGGAAATAAAAGTGTCCCTTCCCCGCAAATCAAAACCACTGGTTTAGGCGATGTTTCAGCATTAAAATAGTCAAATTTGATTGTCTGATGTCGACAGGCCCCTCCCAGCATGCCCCTCCCTTCTCAGTGGTGCCCCGCCTTCAGCTTTCAGGCCAAGGGGACTGTAAGAGTGTTGATGCCTGTTTTCCTTCCGTATCCCACACGTAATTCTCCTGCAAACCTCATCAGCGCCGCCTTCAGGACACTGACAGAATTCCACCTCTGCTGCTGCCATCAGGGCCATCAGAGCGAAGATGCCACATTTCAGCTGGATTAATTGTTTAACAGGGTTTTTATCTCTTTGCTCTGCAGTCCTATAGTCTGATTTGTTATGTAAGATGGTCTTTCAGAACAATCAGTGAGTTGCTCTTTTACCTGAGTGTATAGCCTTCCATGTGGGTATCAGGTGGGGAAGTTTATCACAGGCTGTAGCAGCAGGAACTTCCCAAACCACCAGGCAGAAAATGAGCTGCAGATAATGTGACATTCTGTTGCCAGGAAATGCACAGAATAAACATCATTATTAATATTCAAATACTATTTTTATAAATTATTTTTATCACAAAATATATTTTCAAAGACAGTCTTGAATTCCTTCAATAATTAGGCCAAAATAAAAGAAAATTATATCTCAATGAAAAAAATGTAGTGTAATGTATTTTCATTTTAAAGTTCCTTATCTTTCTTAATTAGCAGATTTCTCAGCTCTCCCTCAAACTACTTTCTATCTTTATTTCTCATCTCTGGAATTTAAGACTAATTTTCAGCTGTTTCACTAATACGGTCTCCCTCTGGCGCAATTATTCCACTTTTATTTCCTTCCTCCTTTACTTGGCTGTAAAATGCTGGCCAGTTCTTCGTTTAGGTGAATGTCGTGATGAATTATGACATATAAAGAGAGGAATACATGGCTCATTAGTGTATTGCTTTATGAATTCTTATTTGGTGAACACACCTGTATAACCAGCAGCTTCCTAAAGAAAAACAACATAAGCTCCTTCCCCAGTTTACCCACATCATTGCAAAGGATGCTGGCACGTACAACTGTGCGTACGTTTGTTTAGTTTGATGTAAAAGGAATCACTGGTGTATTCTTGTTTGTGTCTGCCATCTTTCAGCGTCACTACGTTTCTGATACCCTCTACACAGTTGTCAGAGGCAGCAGTTACCCATTTTTATTTCTGTACAGGGGGCTACTGCATGAATATATCGCATTTTATGTATTTACAGTTGAGGAGTCTCTGAGTTGTTTCCACTTTTGGGTTATTATGAATAATGCTGTTACAGACCGTGTTTTGCCTTTAGGGGGCGCACATATTCAGCAGCTCTGTGGCGCCGCCCACAGAAGTCTTTCTGTGAGGCGCTCCCCTGGGGCTGGGTCAGCATCGCACAGTACCTTCCTGCTCAGATGCAGCCACAGAGCGTTTCAGAGCGGCCACGTGCCCAGCACGGACCTGTGGGTTTCCACATCCCGACCGATGCTTGGTGTTACCAGTATTGTTTATTTTATTAATTTTTAAAAAAATTCTAACCATTCTGGCAACTGTGCCGTGGCATCTCATTGTGGTTTTAGCGTACGTTTCCCTGATAACCACACACACTGCTATGTCGTCTCCAGGTGATGACTTTCATCTTTCTCTCTTAAATCTTGAT